CGGAGCAGAGAGCCCGATATGGGACTCAATCCCAGGACCCTGGGACCATGACCCGAGCCGAAGGCAGTTGCTTAACAACTGAGCCACCCAGGCGCCCGAGTTACTTCAGTTTTAAAACTTAAATTCATGTGTTTGCTTGAGACTTCTATAACTCACAGGTCAGATAACCTTCAGATGTTTCCAGGACAAAAGTTGTCTGATTTTTATGGATACCTACAAATGATAGCCAACACAGCTTTGGGGGAGACCTAATTTTTCCCCTTTAGTGCAGCCCCAATATGCAGTGCTCAGATTTGCATACTATGGGCCTCCCTCCTCTGGACTCAGGTGCCCCGACTCTCCATGTCCTGCCTGGGGGACCCTGGGAAAGCCATGTAACCACAGTGAGCCTCATTCAGAGAAAAAAAGGGGCTTTAAAAAGAGCTCCCTTCCAGCAATGTGAGTTGGTACAGAATTTGGTGTTAGGCTATATGTGTTCATTACCATCCATGATGTCTGAGATGCGGAGAAATTCTATTTATATAGCACCTAGTGAATAAAATGTACAAGAGCCATCAACATTTTTATGCTTGCGATTGAGACAGATGTGCGCTTTGTCAGGGAGGCTACGGAGAAGAGAGGTACCTCTCTCTGTAGCAAGTCTGCCCTCGTGTGGGGCCATGCTCAAATCACAGCAGAGCTTTGGTCCCGGCCAAATGTTCTTTTCCAACCTACTTCATAGGAATACTTTCAGAAACCAAACTCACCTGAGAAAGAGCAGAATTAGTCTGTGACTTTCTGAAGACAACAAAGATATATATAATTAGTGTGCATGCAGTCACACATTTTACACACATAAACGAAGAGATTTGCACTCTGTTTCCCTAAACCTGTTCTTCATTTTGTTTACTTGCCTGTTCCCTTGACAAAGAAGCAGGACAGAAAGCATTTGGGGCTCAAATCCTAAAATGTACTCCCTCTCCAGTTGACACAACAAGCAACCCATAGCATGAGTTCACAAAAGGGACTTATATTTTACACTGGGTTAGGAAATCTTCCTCTTCCCTCTGAATTCTTCAAAACTATTCATTCTTCAAAATAGATTACATAGTGTCTCTTTATGGGAAACCTCCTCTAGAAATCTCAGACAAAAATATTCCTCATCTCTTTAGGACCCAGCACACTAAAATATAGTAGACATTTGCCAGTTGCCACATGAGAGAGTGAAAGAATAAAGGAATAAATGAATGGAGCATTTTTCCTCCCATCACTAGTGTTTTGAAGATGTACGCAAATCCCATTCACTGAGCACCATTGGCCAAAAACCATCACCCAAAAACAGCGAAATGATGGCTTCTTCAGTTTTGCAATTGAAGTGTGGAAATCACAAAAAAGGAAAAAATGCAGATTATTGATTCTATGGGAACTTCTTAAAAGAAGGATAAAAGATCCCAGCTAAAATTTGTATCTGCAAATTTTTCCTGAATGCCAAAATGTATGATTCTTTAGACTGTCGAATTAGTTCTCTTTAAGTGTTAGTTACTCTGGGACTTTCCATTCACGGGCCAGTTTTATTAGGAAGTTTTATTCCCTGTTGTTCTAAAGAATATGTTTGTGTAGAAACATCCACACAGGGTTGTGAGTAACATCATTTTCCCCATTTACTTTAATTTTCTATTTAGTATGAAGGGACTGTAGGAAAAAATTACTTTTCAGTAGCCTAATCGCTGCCTATTCACATCTTCATCAGCACTACCGTGTTATAGCCTGCAGGTCAGCGGGCTGTAAACAGTTAGCATAAATTGGCAATTCAGAAACTGAATTTTAATGAGCAAATAGTATTTTCCTCTGAATGCATTAGTGTCTCATCTGTCAAATCCGAACATTAATCACACCTCCACTGAAAGTCTCTCTGGGCTCCAGGTGTAGCTCAAACTCCTGGTCATTTTTCCCCCTATATTTGCTTTTGAAAAGCCCAAAACGGAAACATTGGTTTATTTTACTTGTAGTATCAAACTCACGTTCTAAAATAAAATAGGAGAAATATCATTTGGGAAAAGGATAAAAGGTAGAGAGACTATTAACTTAAAAAAGAGTAATTCTCTATCTCCTCTCTTTCTGAAGGGTGTACAATTCAATGAAGGAAATGGAATGAGCAGTTTATATAAAATCCAGGTATTTACTTTTGTAATTATGTGAAATTATTTTCCAGTGAGGGGTTGCTATAAATGCTTCTCACCTTTTTCTTTTTTTTGAAGGGAGGTGTGAATGTTCCCAGTTTTCCAGGGCCCCCTGGCCCCCCTGTGAGTACAGTTTTTTATTACCAAGCATTCTTCAGCTGAACAGCCCCAATAAATAAATAAATAAATAACTCCTAAGTTCACTGAAAAAATACATGATACGAATATAACTAAGATCTTATGCAATAGGAAATAAATGTAAATTTATTTAATATAATATAGAATAGAATAGAATAGAAAATTATAATAAAATGGAAAAAATGTACCCAGCCAATGAAAAATAGCGTTCTGCATGGTGGTATCCATTTCTGCATTGTAAATCTAAGAACTAAATCAATGTCCAAAGTCACTGTCATGGGATTCCATCAAGTTATGTTTCATCATCTAATTCTTCAAATCCCAACTGTAGCAAAATAAAACTTGCAAATATTTTGTATGTGTCTTAAAGCAAATTGAATTAAAAATGCTTTAGATTCTATAATTTTGCTTCCCTCATGCTTCCCATGTTTTTCTTGCAGGGCCCTAAAGGAGACCCTGGCCCAGTGGTATGTATATTCCCATGCTTTGAGTCATTTAGAAATTAAGTCTTTATTGAAGTTTGAAAGAAGAGCATCAGGCAAAGATGGCCTATTTTCTTAGCTGTTCACCAATTAACTAACATTGGAGGCAGGAGGCAAGCCACCAAAGAAATACCAGCAATGTGTTCATCTTTAAGATGCATTGGTCTTGATGTCACTGCCATTGGCCTTTGTCTCTCTTATTAGTGTATTTTCAAAATCTCCCTGTGATGGAAGAGGACACATATGAAGTTCCTGATAAACAGAACACTTTCTTCTGATAGCGCTATTTTGATGGTCAACTCAGTGTTAAGTACATTGTGGAAGAGAAATACTTACTGGAAAGAAATTCCTTACTATGTCTCCAGTCTCTCCCTACCCCCAAAAAAGGAAGGGACTGTTTTTTGCTTTGGCTGTCTTAGGCAGTTATTCGGTAAGAAATGTGGTGTGCTGTCATCAACCTGCTTATTAGGTGTAATGTATCAGGAGGTTAGCACTCAGCATGGAAAGAGATCATGTCCTGCAGCCCCCCAGAGAGGGACAATTTTTCTCAAGCACGGAGTGTCACTCTGCAGCTTCTGCCAAATTCATTAGATTCCTTTTATTCCTTGGCAATTCTTCCTGTCATGTCCTTGTCAAGCATATGTTCATATTTCACTTGTATTAACCTTTTAACCTTGATTTATATAGTATGCTTGAAACTCAGATATACCTGAAACTGAAATAAAGTTTCAAATCATTTTCCATTGTCATGTGAAAAAAAATTAAGGCCCTTTCATTACAATAGGTTTTGGTAAAACTAGATGAATAAATTTTAAAAGAGCAAAAGAAGAAGCCATAAAAAGTAATCTTTTCACATCTAACTATATTTTCAAAGGACATGCATTAAAGCGCATATTTTTTATTGGTCGGTATATAGTAAGAGCCAATTTTTCCCCTGAAAGCATGATTTCAACTAGTTAGTACCATTTTCTGAACCCCAATTATGTAACTCAGAAGTTTCCTTTGTTTTCTTATTCATGTTGCCCCCCTTTTATCCGTAACATTTTTTATGCTTTCACCAATCATATCCTTCATTCTAATTTTAATTTTCTTTCATCTTGTTGATAAAAATTTCCTCCTGGTCTTTCCCTCTCCTACTGACTCACAGTCCCTCTGAATCATGTAGAGGCCGCTAGACTTCTCACTGACTTTTCTGGAACATCCTTTCAAGTTTTTCATTAATAACTGCATATCAAGGTGAAAACATTTTTTAAAGTATTCTAATAAAGGATAAATCGTGATTCACTTCGATTGGAAAATGGGTAGAGACACATTTAAGTAGACTTTGAGGAAATTAGGCTTCAAATTCCTTAGCTACAACAAAGGATAAAGAATAAAAACTGATTAAAGGCTATTCCCTGCTTTTAGAGATGTGCTTTAAGTGGGTGAAGCACAAAAGCAGAAATCCGGAATAATGAAGTTAAATACTGTGTAAACCCTCAGGTTTATCCTACATAAACCTTTGAAATTATTCTTTGGGGCCAATGTCAGCACCACCATGCAACTCCCTTCATTTCATACCAGTTGCCCAGTACAGAGAAATACTACTTCCTACCAGAGGAATAAGCCAGGAATGGTAGAATAATTGGTCACAGAGCAGAAAATGGAAAAGCCAATTTGAGGAGGCAGCAGGGGCGGGGGAAAGCTGGGGGCAGATTTACTCTTCAGCATCCTTCATTTCCCATGACGCTGGGTCTGCACCACCGTTTCTAATCTTCTCAGTAAACGTTTGTAGACAAAAATCGCCCTTAATTGAATTTATCTTCTGAGGCGCTCCATTTAATTCCTTTGATATTTAATTTATAAGAGGCTTCAATTAAATATTTAATTATTAACTACTTTCAAATAAATATTGATTGTTGGGTGACCACCTTCCTCGGTCCTAAGGATTGTTGAGCATGTAAACAAAGAGAATTGAAGAGTTCATTTCCTTTGTCAACAATCCAGGACCTCTTTTACAGTGCTTTATGTAGAATAGAATCTGAACATCTTTTTTTTTTTTTTTGTCTGATTGGTAGGTTTATATATTAGTGGACATTTAAAAAGATTTCTAAGGCATGAAAAGTATCAAGTCATCTGCTTGTTCATTAAGTGCTCTGTAATAAGGACAATATCATAAATAATAATGGAAGTTGGAGACTTGGTAATATTTTGAAGCAGATTAGAATTATGCATGCAAAAAAATATATTTACAGAGAATGAAAGCTCTCTTTTCCATTTAATTATGTTGAAAGCATCCAGTGTCTGAAGAAAATATTTGCAGTTAACATCAATTCATTAACAAGGAGGTATCAGATAACTACCTCCTTTATCTCTCCTGATTTAAAAACCTTAATGTTTACCTGCTCAAAATTAGCAGTTTCCTTCACCCTAACTTTTCTAAATATATTTCTTGAGAGCCTACAGGCTCCAGCTGGCCTGGGACCATACACTAGAATATGTATAAGATTTTTTTAATGGAAATGCTTACTTATCTTCTGCCAGTGACCCATGAGCTTGAGCAATAACTTTTAGAATCACTGGAGATGCCGCTTCTGGAGCCATCCCCTGAAGCATTCACAACTCATGGCCAACTGCAGAGAACACTGCAGGATGGTAAACTTTGCTATCAGACCTTCATCTTCATCTGCTCTTAAGGAGCTTAGTCTTATTCTCTGGTCATCTAGCAGCCCTGGGTACCTCACAAATTGGCAAACTTCATTAAAATCCATCTTTCCTTCTAATTTTTATTGAAATTGGAGTTAGCGCTTACTAGAGAGATTCATTCTAATTAGATTCTTAATCAGAATAAAAACAACTAATCAGAAAATATATTCATACTTCTCCAGGAAACAGCTTTATTCTCAAACTATTTTCAAGTATCAAATGCAAGAATACAAATGCTTGAAAATAGAGCATACCGATTCTTGCTAAATTGCCAATCAGTGTTTGGGGGTACTTTTTTGGCAAAAAAAAAAAAAAAATCTTTGTTTTTGAAATCAAGTCTTAAAAAACCTCTTGGTCATTGCTCCTACATTTCTTATGTTCATATTTAACAGGGAGAACCTGGTGCAATGGGGTTGCCAGGACTAGAAGGATTTCCAGGTGTAAAGGTAAGTTCAAGGGTTAAAAATGTGGTCACTGATTCAACATTCAAAAATGTTTACTGAGCACCTCCTATTGGACCAGGAACTGTTTTAGGTTTAAAGATAGCTAAGAGTACAATACAGACAAAAATCTCTGCCTTCAAGGAACTTATTTTCTAGGAAGGGGATACAGAAACTACAAGAATAAACGTAAGTAATAATGTTGGTAAGTGCTATGAAAGAAAGAAAAAGTAGAGCAGGTTAAGAGGGCTCAGGAGTGCTAAAGGAGAGGGTTGTAATTTTAAATATGGGTCTGAGAAAGCAAGATCTGAGCAAAGACTTGAAAGAGTGAGACAGAGTTAGCCAAGTCCCCTCAACCCTGAAGGAAGAATGTCCCAGGCAACATAAATAAGTTCTAGAGATCTAACATGTAGCATGGCAACAAGAGGTAACAATACTTTACTGTATACTTGAAAATTGCTAAGTGTTCTCACCAGTACATTAATTAGCTTGATTGGGATGCTCATTTCACAGTATATGCATATATCAAATCCTCAAGCTGTATACCTTAAATATATACAGTTTTTTGAAAGCATAAACATTAGGTCTAAATGCACTGAGACATGAGTATTCCTGCTACACCAAAGGAGACCAGGAGAATGAGGTGAAGGGAAGGGTGGTAGATGAGGTCAGAGACGTAGGGGTAGAAGTAAGTGAGGTGTAGCCCTGTCAAAGCAGTCCTGCAAAGCAATACTACTCAAAATGCGGCCAGTGGAGGACCAGTGACAGTCTGCAAATTCTCTTATGGGTTCTGTGGCAAGGTAAGTATAGACCGAGAGTAAGTATTTAAAAACTTGCCTAGCAATTTAACTTTGCCATGATATTCAAACATGTGATCAGTAGATTCACCTTTGTTCAGGATGTATTAGAACATAAATGATAAACTGCTCCTGAAGGAGCACGAGTAGTTCAAGAAGCACTAATAATAAAGAGGCTTACTAGCCATTGTGAAGACTTTATCTTTCACTCTGAGTAAAATATGGAGCCAGTAGTTCATTTCTGAGTAGAAGGGTGATGAGGCCTACAGCTGGAGAGCAGGGGTGGAAGCAGGGACAGCTGGGATGGTGTTGGCTCAGATTGAAGTAGAAATGGTGGAGATAGTGAGGAGTGGCTAGATTCTGGATATGTTGGGAAGGTAGAACCAACAGGACTTTCTAATTGATTGGACATGGGTATGAGAGAATAAAGAGGAGTCAAGGATGACTCCAAGTTTTTTGACTTGAGCAATTGGCATGATGGGATAGTTATCAACTGAAATGAGGAAAGCTATAGGCAGAGCCTGTGTGGAGAGGGTGAGGATGATCAGTTTAACTTTGGACATGAGGTCAAATTTGGCAGCATCTATTAGATAGCAAAGTGGAAGTATTGAGTAGGCAGAACAATATAAAGGCATGGAATTTGAAAAGAGTCTTAGTGGAGATTTAAACTTGGTTGTCCCAAGCACATAGATGCTGTCTTAAAGCCAGGAGACTTGATAAAATTACCAAGGGAATGACAGTAGATTTTATAAAAGAGAAGAGGACCAAGGACTGAGCACTGAGGCCTCCAACATAAAGGGATCAGGAAGAAAAGAAGGACTGAGTGGGGGAAACTGAGATGAAGGGACCAGGGAGGTAGGAGGAAAACTTGGTGTCCTGAAAGCCAAGTGAAGATAATGTATCAAGGTGAAGAGAGTGATCACCTGTCTCAAATACCATAAATAGGTCTAGTATGATGGGGATGGGGTCAAGTAGAATGGTCAAGTATTAATTATTGGATTTAGCAGTATAGAGGTTTAGCAGTAACGGATTATTACTATTTCACTATTTTGGTAGGAGCAACTGTTGGATTTAAATGGATTTAAGAGAGAATAAGAAAAAAATAATTAGAGATAGCAAATACAGTATAAACAATGGCCAAGGAGTTTTGCTGCAAAGGAAATCAGAGAAATGGGAAGGTGACTGCTGGAGGAAGTAGGGTAAGGTTTTATAAAATGGATTTTAGAAATGGACCATAGAAATATCAGAATAATTGTATGCTAAAGGAATGATCCAGTAGAATGGGGCAGGGGAGTGATGATATAGGAAGAAAGGGGAGAGTTGCCAGAATGACATCCTCAAATTGCTAAGAGAAAATGGGAACTAGTACATAAATGGAGGTTTTGGCTTCAGAGAGGAGTCTGGATAGTTTATCTGTAGAAACAGGTAGAAAAACAGAATATAGGGATACAGACATAGATACACCAAGAATAATTGGTTGGGGTGTATAGAAGTTCTTTTCTGATTGCTGAAATTTTCTCAGAGATGGAGGAAGAAGATCATCATCTGAGAGTGAGTTGGGGAGAAGAGGTTGGAGATTTAAGGCAAAGGTCTTCTAAGAGAGAGGGAGAGTCCAGGGACCACAGAGTGCGATGACTAGGCAGCCCCAGGGCCCCCGTCAGGTTCATGGACATGAACTGAAGTGAGACCAGTCAGAGAGATCTTCTCCAGCATGTACACTCAGGTAAAGACATAGATTTAAACAAGGTTCCAGTTTTGACAGGTGAGTACTAGAAGCAAGAATGGGCCAAGAGAGCCAATGGTGTACACAAAGGAGTGAGTATAACAAGTGACCATGGAATTTAAACTAAATAAATAAGGGAGAGAGGCCATCTAGAAAGTTGAAGGATGACGAAAGATTTGTTCAGTGGATTAGAGGTGTTGGTGGCATCAGAAGTGAGAGAATCCAAGGTACTCAAGGGAGTGAGTTAAAACTATGGTGGCCCAATATCAGAATGCATGAAATTTCAATTATGGAAGGGATGGAGTTATTGGTACTGACAAGGTCTCAGGTATAGCAATGGAAATAAAAGGCCAGATCATTAGAGGAGAATGGTTCAAAGAACTGCAAGACCTGAACTTTGGAAGGACCATATTGTCCAAGAGAAGCCTTCTTAATATTAACCTTTATCAGATATACAAGAGTTTCCACTGAATAAAAAGTTCCAATATATTCATTTCGGGGGTGAAAATCCCATAATTTAAAAGGAGCAGAGTGAAACTGACAAGAATTACCTGTTTATACTGTTTGTCCACTATTCCATTAGTTTTTTTTCTATTTGCCTAAGGCTATGCTTTATAAAGATATTACTTCTATTTAGATGTTACAGTTTATATCCTAGTTAGTCTGACCTTTCATTTTCATGTTTAATCTCACTGTATATGTAAATATAACATTTATGTAGTCAAATAGCAAACTGTTTTTCTTTGTGTTTTCTTGTTTTGCTTTTATGCTCATTTATCTTATTTTCACCCAAAATCAGGTAGCCACTTGGTATTTTCTTCTAATTCTTTTATACCTCATATTATTTTATTTTTTACATAATCTATATGGGATTTCCATGGAGCATAATATAAAGAGAGGAATTAAACTTTTTTCAAAGAAGTTACTCAATTATTAACACTATTTGTTGAATAATACATTCCTTTCTTTACTAAAATCCTATTATGGATGTTGGTCTATTTCTGAGGTTATATAGCATTTTTATATTGCATTGATATACTGCTTAATCTTATGCCAATATTCCATTATTTTAATTGTTATAGCTTTGTTATATATTCAGATATTGATATTGCTAATCTCCTTATTTTTCTTTTAATTTTTTTCTTTTATCTTCTCATGTATTCATTATCCCGAGTGGACTTTAACATCATCTGATCAAGCTGCAATTTAATAAGAATTGCTTTAAATTTATAAATTAGTTTGGGTAGCAGTGACACCTTTACAACATTGTCTTGCCCTCCAGGAATAAAACATATCTCTCCATTTAATCAAGTCTTCTTTTATGTCCCTGAGTGAAGTTACGAAGTTTTTTAATGTAGGTTCTGCTCAACAAAAATTGCCATTTTATTATCCCATATATAATCTATAGTACTTTTAGCATCATCAGCTTTATCTAAAACACCACATTGCCTTTGGAAAAAGAGTTGCGTCACTCTACTGTTCAGAGCAATTCAAGGGACCTTCTGATGGCCTAATGAGGAGAACTACAAAATCCCTTGTTCTAAATATCTTTATTCTATCCCTACATCCAATAAGACAAGTGTAGGAAAAGCTTTTTAGAAGACGTTCAATGTGCTGTCTTTTTTAAGTATTGGTAATGGATTACTTTTGGAATGAAAATACTGTATTGACTAATTGTAGCTGTATGTGTGGAGCCCTATTAAAAATAGGTCACAGAAATGATAACCTAATGCTTGTTTTCATTATTATTTGCTTTCGTTTTTTGGAAAAAAAAAAGCTTTAACAAAGTCAGTTAGCTATTCATTTTATTTTCTTATCTGATATTGATAATGCTTATCAATACCAAAGAAATACTTGACCAAATCCAAATAATCATTTGAGCATTAATTTTATAGGCAAAGATTTTATAGATATCATTATAAGTAGCAATTTTTTTTTAAATCCCAACAGGGGGATCGAGGCCCAGCAGGTCCCCCAGGAATAGCTGGAATATCGGTGAGTCGAGAGTATCTCATATTATTTTCACAAGGAAGTAATTCTATCTCCACAGTAAATCTATAGCTAGGGATCAAGAAGGGCTAGGGAGGGGCGCCTGGGTGGCTCAGTCGTTAAGCATCTGCCTTCAGCTCAGGTCACGATCCCAGGGTCCTGGGATCGAGCCCTGCATCGGGCTCCCTGCTTGTCGGGGAGCCTGCTTCTCCCTCTCCCACCCCCCTGCTTGTGTTCCCTCTCTCGCTGTGTCTCTCTCTGTCAAATAAATAAATAAAATCTTAAAAAAAAAAAAAAAAAAAGAAGGGCTAGGGAGCACACAGTAGCTCCTATGCCATTAGGTTCTAGAAACATCCAGTTAAGAAAATAAAACCACCTTGTCCCTATCCATCCTCAAGAATTCTTTCTTTTTTTAAATTTTTTTAAATATTTTTATTTATTTATTTTAGAGGTGGGGGGGGCAGAGAGAGAGAATCCCCACTGACTGCAGAGCCAAGCATGGAGCACAGTGTGGGGCTTGATCCCATGACCCTACGATCATGACCTGAGCTGAGATCGAGAGTCCAACACTTCACTGACTGCACCACCCAGGCACCCCAAGACTGCTGCTTTCTTTATTTTCATCTTTTTCTTATTTTTTGTCTTTTTCTTTTTTTCCCCACCTCCCTTAAGGAAGGGAGGAGATGCCCAGTTAGTTATCTGTGCCAATATGTTAGAACAAGCCCAACTTTGAGAAGCTTGTTTTGTTTCTCTGCTCTTACCATATTTAAGGTTTCTTGGCACCCAAAAGACAAAGTTCTTATCCTTAGGCATGTACTTCAAGTTCTTGATATTAAGCTGCAATCTGAGTTTTCCCTTGGCCTGGTGTTATTAACAGATCTTTACTGCTGCTAATGTTTCCTCATAAACTAGACCTTCCAGCCTCTCAATCATTTTTGTTGCTCTCCGGTGTCAAATGTTTTAATCTCATCAAGGTCTTTTCAAATGAATAGGAAGTGCTCCAGGAAAGGTTGAAATCATTTCTCCGAGCCCTAGGGATCATTCTGATCTTCATTCATGATGCTCTAATTAAAATTTTGTGGCCATGCTTTATGAATAAGAGCCCACTTATCCTTTTGTTCAGTGGCCCTGCAGGGTAGGCCCAGGGTAGGAAAGTCAGTGGAAACTACGTGCTTGAATCATAAGAACACAAGATAAGAAAGGGCCCTACCATCCCACTCACCACACCCATTGACATCTACTGACATCCAACACCACCCAGAGCGTAATCCACCCATCACTCCCATCTTTAAAAGGCCAGTAGCCACTCTATTCTACTCTAGTTGTTAAGCCTAATGACAAAAATTGAAAACCCATCCCTAATCTGCAGAAAACCATCCTTTATAGAGGACGAATCCCCTTATTTAGCTGTTCTATCCCTTTCTCGTATATTCAAGCCCATCCAGAGATTTCTCCAGGGCTTCTTTCTCCTGCTTCTTCCCAGGATGACACATGGGTAGAGAGGAGGAGGTGTCTGTGAATGCTGGCAGTGAGGTGACGCCTCCAGTCAGCATGCTCTCCCCCAGGTTCTCCAAGCTCCCCGTGACCTTTGAAATTGCTGCTGCCTGCCACCGATGTCCCTGATCCCTTTGTCTCAGATCTCAAAGCCTGAGCACTCTCCCCCTTGTGTCCTATGCCAAACCCATGTGGGACATGAGCCTTCAGGCTCTAGCACATCCCCCAATGTGGGCCCACAGGAGCTTCAGCAGTTCCTGCTCGTACACACAGGCTCTGGGGAACCAGGGCTGCTCTGTCAGGCCTTGTGTCTGCCTAGCTTCACCACTCAGCGGTGTCCAAACCTGTGAGGGGGGTTCCTCCCAGAGTTCGAGACAGCAAGAGGAGGAAAGGGTCCTTGCTTTTTCAGATTCTCTCCAAGGGAACCTACTAGGGTTTCTGCAGCCTCAGCCCTACAGGGATGCCTGCATCCCTGAATTATTTGTTTTTCTATCCATGTTAGGTCTAAGGGATAAAAAGTGGTTCCTTCTTTTAGCTTGGTCTAGATACTTTGGCACTTCTCACTTCTGGTGTCTGATGGACCATCTTCCTCTCTCATCCCTCCCAGTGGTCTTCTACCCAACAGTTCTCTGTTTTCAGTCCTCCAAGCCACAGTTGTGTTGGAACAAATCAATCTTGTCCTCTTCCTTTTAACCAAACATGGCTTTTCAAGTCGAACATGGTATTTCTGCAGGCTATCCTACTATGAACTTAGAGATCCTCTTAAGAAACACAAAATCTAGGAAAGGTGTCTTTGACTCCATGTGCCCTCCCACCCCCAAAGTCAAGAAGAGCTGCCAATCAAATAGGCACTAGAAGGATTTCCAGTAATGAAGATACGTTGACTTCATATTTTCAAAAAATATTATCATCCCCTCCTACCCTCTGTTATAGACAGATACGTACATGCAGAGAACTGCATTCTAGTCTGTACCTTGGAGCCTCCAGAGTCAAGCACATGTCCCCACAGACTCTGTCCCATTAGGAATGCCTGGCAGCACATTAAATTCCCAGGCAGGGAGGGGAAGGACATGGCATCATGTCCGAATTTGGCTTCTAACATTTCTCCTTGCTTTGATTTCCCAGGGAAAACCTGGAGCCCCAGGGCCTCCGGGAGTCCCAGGGGAACCGGTGAGTTGCCAGCCACTTACTTTAACCATTGTACTTGCATGCGGTTCCAAAGCTTTCCTTAGCAACTAATATTTGTCTGTGGACATGCCTATAGGGTGACAGAGGGCCTGTTGGAGATATAGGTTTCCCTGGACCAGAAGGACCCTCTGGAAGGCCAGTAAGTACTTTTTACTATTTAAAATTTGCCAGTTTGAGAAATATTCCAAGTACTGCCTCTTTCCCTATCTCCTTGGAAAATCTGATGTTTGTCGTTTCTAAGGAAGTAAGAGCAAGTTCCACAAATGGATCTTTGGGGGTGTGATTCTCACTGAGTGTCCTAGCTCTGTATGAGGTATCTTTGTGTCTTAAACAATGATGAAAAAAGTGAGATTGTTTGTTTGTTTGTTTGTTTTAAGTGTCAGGAGATTAGACTCATTATTTCTTAAGTCTGATGTTCTCCGAGTTAAAAAACAAAATGGCCTGTCACATTCAAAAATATAAAGAAACTGAAGACTCACAGATATGACTCCTGGGTGCTAAGCTGAAAACTATTTTCTCAGATTCCCTTCTTTATCTATGGACCTTGTTCTTATACTTTCATAAATCATGCTTCTAAACATAGCATCCCTTTGATTCCTAAAAGAGCTCTTGGATACTGACATATATTGCTGTAACATGGTAATAATCATTCTTACTAATTCACTTCAGTTCAACATATATTCATCTAGTCTCTGCTCTTGCTAAGGATGTGCTGGGCCATGAGGGAGGGGACGTAAAGATGAATGACATAGAGCCCACTCTCGGGTTTACTCTTTATAGAAGGTCACTGCTCCCTTTGCTTGTTTATTTGTGTGTGGAGAGGGAGTGCTATTAGGACAGGGAGGATACTGAAGGTGAACAAGCAGCACAGAGTTCACGAGGCTGGTTCAGTACCTCTGGGAAACCTTCTGGGTCTGAGTGCTCCCTGGCCACCACCTGCTCAGAGAAGGCACCATAAAAATATAGGAAGCATATACAATTTAGAGTCAGAAAGATATGGGTTTGAATTGTGACTCAAAAGGGTTTTGTGAGTCACTTAACTAACATGACATATGGTAAATATCTCCAGTGCCTGGTCCTGGGAGGCACTCAATAAATAGCTTCAATCCCTGCCTCCCCCTTCACCTCCTGTTACCAACTCCCTATCCTGGGCCCCTGGCCATTTTCTAAATGCTTGCCCAGGGGATGATGCAAAAAGCAATTTGTTTATTCAACAACTATTTCTTGAGCACCTACTAAAATGCTAGGCACTCTTCTGGGGGCCAACAACTCTTGGCTTTACGTTCTGGTATAGGGACACAGACAACAAACAAATAAATACACGTACATGCACAATTTCAGGTAGAAAAAGCTCTAAGCAGGGTGACACACCAGAGTAGCATTGAAATAGAGCAACTGAAAAAGGCATGCCATTTAAGCAGAAACCTGCATGAAGTGAGAGATCAAACCTGGAGTGGTTGTCAAAGGCATTGCTTCAAGGAAGAGAAATGGCCATAGAGGAGTGAGCCTGGTGTGTTAAAGAAACAGCAAAAGGCATGAGGTCAAGAATGCACTAAGCTAGATAAGAGTTGGAAAGATACTGAGAGAGAACTTGGCAGTGGCCTGGCCATGAGGAACTTCTAAACTATGAATGGAATTTGGATTTCATTTGAAGTATGATGAAAACCCATCGAAGCATTTGTAGTGGGGAAGGAAAATGACTGGAGTACATTTTAAAGTATCACTCTATTATGTGGAGAGCAGACTGTAGGAAGCAGGATGGAAGCAGACAGAACAGTGTGGAAACATCACCATAATCCACATGAGAAATTAATGATGGGGAGAACAGGGAGATCATGAGGAGTAGGGGAGTTTAGGATGTACATCGAAGGGAGAGTCAACAAACTCACTGATGGACCAGATGTGGAGTGTGAGGGAGAGGTAAGTTAAAGCTGTGGTGCGGGGTCTTGGCAGCCATGTCACAGTGGTGCTTTTGGTGAGATGGGAAAGACTGGAGATGGATAGGTGTGGGAGGGAAAACCAAGGATTCTCTGTGGTGGACACATTCAACTTCAAGCACTAGTAGACATCCAAGTGGAAATGTCAAGTAAGTGGTAGATTATGCATCTTGAATTAATGGAGAGGTCAGGACTGGAGAGACTGATTTGGGTATTTAAACCTGAGCCTGGATGAAATGGAGTCACTGTGGATTGGGAGGGGAGAGAGCACTTCAAGTTTTAGGAAAAGGACCTGGCAAAAAGTCTGAGAAGGTACAGCTGGTGAGATATGAAGAAAAACAGGTGAATGAGGTTTCCTGGATGTCAAGGGAACTAAGTGTTTTAAGACAGAGAAATGATGAATCTAGATAGGTCATGTGAGAGCTGACAGTTCTCCTCTGGGTTTAGAAATGTGGTGGTCCTTGGTGGGAGAGGTTACAGCACGCTTGTATCTTGATAAGAATGATCCAGTCAAAAGACAAAGTTTTGATGATGCCATGCGAGTGGAGATAACTTTGAGTATGGGGAGAAGACTGGAGTGGACATCGGTCTTCACAAGGAACAGGGGCAGCTCATCCTTCTTACCAGGAGGAAGGAGGCAGGCAGAAGTGGGTGTACAAATGCGTGTAGGTTGGTGGATCCCGTGGAGGGAAGGAAGGTGAGGTGGCTCTCTCCTATTTATACTCTCTGTGGAAGAAGAATCGAGGTCATCGGTTGGGTGTAAGGAATCAGGTGATGATGCTGGGGATCTGAAGACACAGGAAAATCTGTGAAAGAGTACTTTGGAAGAGAAGGAAAGGGAGTGGAATCCGAAAATCCAGGATAGCCTGGTTGTACAGAGGGGCTACTTGCCATCTGCCTCCGTACGTTTAGGTCGGAACAAGTGAGCAAGGATATGTGTTTTTCTTCAACCACAGCCAGCCGCTCAGGTGCAGACATGTGGTAGACAGAAAGCCGGTTATACCCAGGGATGGAGCTCTTCCAGATAAGTGAGATGGGGGGAGGGGGAAAACAAATCCATTCAGGTTATTCTAAAAATCTCTAAAAGCAGTACTTGTCTAGGGAAAGCAAGTTAATAACACCTTTATATACATGATAGTCTTTGATGAATTACAAAAGACAAAAAAAGACTGTACAGTTATTTCTTTTCTTACATTGTTACCAAAAGCATGAATTACATTTTTTTTTAAGATTTTATTTATTTATTTGACAGAGAGAGACACAGCGAGAGAGGGAACACAAGCAGGGGGGAGAGGGAGAGGGAGAAGCAGGCTTCCTGCCAAGCAGGGAGCCCGATGTGGGGCTCGATCCCAGGACCCTGGGATCATGACCTGAGCCGAAGGCAGACGCTTAACGACTGAGCCACCCAGGCGCCCCGCATGAATTACATTTTAACACTAGATTTATCTTCCTTTATTCAAGTGATACAGTTGGGTTTTTTTGTTTTTTTTTTTTTTTTCTCCACATCCTCTCTTTAATCAGTTTTATCTTTGTTGCTTGTGTTTCTGGATGTAATAAATTCTTTGAACCATACACTGCAGGTAACGTGTCCTTAGTTCAAGTACTCTAGATAATTCCCAGGGTGTTTCAGAGAGGTTGGGGGACTTTGGTTGGGTTATCAGCTGTGACGGGTTTTAGTGTAATTTACAGCAGTGAAAACATGTGCTTGTCTGCAGTTCCAGCCTTGTAGAATCCATCCCAGCACAATAAAACTCTCCTAGGCTTTTCGGAGGAGGATGTCCATGCAATTGCCTGCTGGCTAAGAAATCATTTTCCTTACCTTGATCTCTCTCTTCAAACCAAATCTCAAAAACACATCTGCTCTTGGACTCTAGGTATTTGATTTGACCCCAAGTGCTTTTCCTTCTCACATCTCCTGGCCAAAAGTTGTCTCTGTCTTATAAATCTCTGAGCAGGGGGCTTTATTTCCTCCTCCAGAACTGCCTTGTAAAGTTTGGGAAACTTCCAGGTTAGTAAACCACTACTTAATGCTCTCAAAAACCATGATTACAGATTTCTTACTTTTCTTTCATATCCTCCCACGGAAAAATAACAAATTGTTCTCTGGCTGACAGTTTATTTCACAGTAGGATCATGCTCTGGCCATGTTATGAAATTTCCCCAGCAGCAACTGAGACCATTTACTGAGAATGACTCTCTGTGCTGGAAAATTGTTAGAGGGTAACGATAAACACCACACACCAGCCACCCAGAACCACGGGGCACCTTATTTTTCAGATTGTACCAAACAGAGTAAGTAAGGAAAATAACCCCGTTGACTATTTACAGTGAGCGAGGCATTTTGTGTTCCTTCACCAAATCCTTAGTTTTAAAGTCACTATCTTATCCTCACTTTATAAGGAAAGAAGCTGATGCTATTAAGGTTGAGTAAATTGCCTAAAGTAAATGGCACTTGTCGGTGACAGAGTCAGAATTTGAACTCAGGGCCATCTATTCTATCAACATTGTTTTCTGTTTCACCACACTGCCACACCAAAATAGCAGAAATATGATGACTAAGTCCTCGAAACTTTACCCTTTTATTGTGTTTCACTATGTCTACCGATGTAGAATTAGAAGTATTAATCATCTTTTGTCTTTATAGGGAATAAATGGAAAAGATGGATTACCAGGTACTCAGGTATGGAAAATAACACTTCAAACAAATGTTCTGATGTAAAACCTCATCCGCAGTACCTGTCAGAATACTTGACTGAGCAGGCTGGGGAAAAATCTTGGCAAGCGATGATTTTTTAGTATTGACGTTTGTTTTTCAGGGTATCATGGGTAAACCTGGAGATAGAGGCCCCAAAGGAGAACGTGTATGTATATTACTATTCTGATCATGAGTTAAGCCTGTCTGCTGCAACTGCCTCATCCTTTGAGTTACACAGTGGGTGTGTGGATGCCTGTAAATCTCCCAATATGACACATCTAGGGTGTATGTGATCCAAGATCTCTTCTGGGCATCAAATAGGCCAATTAAAGGACCCAGAAGCAGGCCGTATGGCAGGTACCCCTACAACGATGACCTTTATTTAGAACTAAGTCTAGTGTGCTGTCCCAGCTTTGGGGAGCTTTGATGCTCCTGTCTCAGACACATATTCCTATCATAGCGATCACCACTTTTCTTGTTCCTTAGAGTGGGGTTTCTCAGCCTCAGCACCGCTGACGTTTGGAGGCAGACAGCTCTTTGCTCTAAGTGTCCGTCCTGTGCACCACGGGACGTTTTGCAGCATCCCTGGCCTCTAGCCTCCAGAGGCAGTGCCACCAGCTCCCCTCCAGTCGTGACAGCCAAAAATGTCTGCAGACATCACCAAATGCCCTCTGGGGACCAGAGTGGCCCTCAGGGAGAACCCCTGACCTCGTGGAGTACGAAGTCGAGGAAGGGGGGTGGTGTGAGGAGGTAGAGCAGTGGGAAGTGGACGCGAACAGGGTGACGGGTCATGCCAATTCCGTTATATCCTTTTATTGTAATTGGTTTGTTTGTTGATGTTGTTCCAACTTCCCCTTATTTTCTTTTCACTGCAAAGATTACTCAAGCACTGTTATTCAGTGGCTTTCTCGTGAGGGCTGCTAGTGTGTTGCATGTGTGTGTTTGTGCACCCGTGTCCAGTTTACTCGTTTTTACTTACTACACAAATAATTCATGATAACTGAAGGACTTGTGAAAACAGAGATAATATAAATAAAAAAGAGAGAAAAAGGTCTACATTATCCCACTGCATAGAGATAAGGATTCTTGATTTTGGACATATTTCTATTTCTCTTTTACACATAATATGCATTTATACTTAATGTATCAATACAAATGAATATATGCTCTTCCAAAAATGTGTTCAGACTGTTTTGTAAATGACTTTCTTCACCTAACAATATATAATGACCATCTTGCCATGTCAGTAAATATAGATCAACAGGTGACTTTTAGTGGCTATATGTTATTCCACTGTTTGGATATACCTTACTTCACTTTCCTAGTCTCCTTTTTCTGGATATTTAGGTTCTTTCTAGTTTTCATAATAATAAATATCACTGTAATGAACATCCTTGTGCCTATATTGTAAGACAATTTTAATATGCTAAAGACTGTGATTATTTTGCACATGATCACAGTATTGATCAGCATGTGTTAGTACTTCTTTATTTTTTTTAATTTGACTCATCCCAGGTATTTCCCCAAATATGAGTTGATATGCTTGTATGCAGATACATTTGTATAACTAAGACAGTAGCACTGAAATTAGGTCCATCTGCTTTTTCTTCTTTCGACATGGCTTCTTTCTACATCTCTTCATTCCATGATCGAATAGATCCCTGTAATTGTTCATTTGTTTTCATTACTTTTTTTAAATCAGAAGAAATGGAATTTGGCCTTTTGCACAGTAGTCACAAATAAAAGAATAGCACAGTGAAATACAGGGCAACCTCAATGCAGCATCCCATCATATTTGGTATGATCATCACCTCCTGGCACTGTAGAACTGAGTATTTGGAATATCTGTAACCGAAACACTCTATGATACATATATACACCTCTCTCCTGACCCCCCGCCCCTAATGCACAAACACATGCAGTAGTAGATACCTTGCTGGATAAAAGTCAGCATTAAATAAACTTCTTATTACAGTCAAGCCACCTAATACTATCTTATACCTAGTTTACTATGGCACCTTACTCAGTGAATTCTCTCATAGTTCATTTATGTTATTAAGTATATGATCTCAGTGATAACCCTCCACCCCAAGCACCTGCTCTGAACTTTTTCAAAGGCTCTCCTTTCTCATCTTCCTGAGTTGTATATCTTTGGGACACAGCATGTATGCACACACACACACACACACACACACACTCAATACACTGTAAAACACGAATAAAGAAACCAACCCACAGAATCTAATAAAGATTCTGATAAAGGTAAAAGAAGAAGAAAAGCACATGATTTGAGAAGGATTTTGAGGGTACTGAAGTTTTTACTTGGTGTAAAATCTAGGTGACCATCTTCATTCAAGTGCAAAATCCTCTTGGCCATCTTCCTTTATTATTGCCAAGGAGACTCAGGCCTGAAATGAGAGCTGCTGTTGACTTTCAAAAGTGTCATCATTCTAGACTAGCAATCGAGTACAGCTAACATCGTCACTAGCTTTCTATGGGTGCCTTCAACATGCCAGGCTTGTTCTAGGTGCTTGACTTGACTCACTCATTTCTCAGCAGCACCCTTCTTAGTGGGTACTATTAATATCTCCACTTTATGGGACAGGAAACCGGGGCACAGAGGGCTTAATTCCCTTATCCGAGGTCCCACAGCTAGTAGATGCCACTATGAATCCAGAACCTTTGCTTTTAACCACAGTTTATGTGTTCTCGAAGAGATCATTATTATTAACTTTTTCCTTAACAGGGTGACCAGGGAATTCCAGGGGACAGAGGGCCACAAGGTGAACAGGGGAAACCAGGCCTTCCAGGCATGAAGGGAACCATAGGTCCTGTGGGGCCACCTGGAAGCAAGGGTTCCACGGGATCCCCCGGGCACCAAGGCCCTCCAGGCCATCCAGGCGTCCCAGGCACTCCGGTGAGTGGTGCCGAGAGCTCCAGTAGCTCCTGGCTAGTATTGACCACATATCCCTTTTACAGTGAAAGCAATCATAATCCTTTTAAAAGAAATAAAATGAACCTAAACTGCTCTCCACAAGGGTAGCGATAGCTGCCATTTATTTCAAGTTATGTACCAGATCCTCTGCTAAGTACTTACTATACATTACTTCAGTAGATTCTCACAACTAGGAGCATTGGTGTCCTGTAGGCCCCACTTTACAAATACAAAAGCTGGGAGTTGACTTGTTCGGGGTCACAGTTATTTAGTGGGTTAGACCCACATCTGACGGACTCCAAAGCCAGGCTCTTAAATACCATCTATAACGTCTCCCTACACTACATAAATGACATATGTCTGTTTTATATTAAAACTCTATTTGTTGAATATGCGAACAACAGCCCTGCCTTGAGTGGTACTTTGAGGTGGAAAACAGGCCAAGAAGGAGTGTCTGGTTAAGGAAGCCCATGTTATTATTAATATCCTCAGGAGGGGTGATGGATGGCCATTCACAGAGGAACTTAATCAGAAAATATCCTTGTTAGGGAGAAAGGAGGGCCCTGGAATGGGGAGGGCGGGATGGGGAGTGAAGGACACACTGTCCTCAGATAATCAGCGAATACCAGATGGAGGCCAAATTGGGCATTCCCACAATATTGAGATTCTTTATTTTTACCCACTCTCCCTAGGCTCTACTTGAATAAAGCCTGTATAATGAGCTCGCAGTGCTGTCAGTAATTGGTATTAGATGCATTAACTCAAGTTAATATGTCCCATATACCATGAAAATAAAATGTTGAAAGAGAGCATTTTTGGAACTATTCTGTCCTACAGAAATCATCATTTTATGAGCCCATCACATTGTCTTTAATGCCACACATACACCTCTGGATAATAACCACTAAAAAAAAAAAAAAAGAAGAAGAAGAAGAAGAAGAGTAATAAAATACTTTGAAATCCTAACGATCATGAAAAATAATAGCTTGCTTTTAAAAAATATCAAGGTACCATAGTAAAATATTATTATTATAAATGTTAGATTCTTTGCCAAATTCATGTAGCTTCATTTTGTCAAGGAGTTAAAAATTCAACTGACATCATTTACCTACTTCCCTTTCTCATGTCCCATAGTGTTTTCTATTAAAAAAAGAAAATTGCTTAATACAAATATGCTTACAAAGTGTAAATTACAGAATAAACTATACTGTAAAAATGACTAAAACTTGGTAAGTTTTTTCTCAAGAATAAAACAGTTTTAAAGAATAATCCAGCATACTTAGAGTTCTCTTCCTTTAAAGAAGCATAGTATTAGTTAGATATTGACTTTACCAGTGCCCAGGGATTGGTTAGAAGTTAAACTGTTCCTGGGATATTAATGTCATGATAACACTGTTCAAGTTCTGTAACTTCAGAAAATGAAGTAATAGGAAATGTCTTTCGTAATCATATGAAGCCATGTCTCTCCATTTAATAAGAAATATGTTCGAATCACTGGTTGTGATTCCAGCCCACAGCTTTTAAAGCAATTATGCACTTCAAGTTCTTCTCAGCATTTGATCAAAATAAAGATATTTATTGCCTAATATAGTCAATTGCCAAAAGCATTTTGTTTGATAAATGTATCTCCACAGAAGTTTCAAGTATGCACACCAACCCAGGATTTCAATTCTTTATTCATTTGTTCTATGCTCTACTTTAACAGACCTTTTTTTCCCTTCTTTAGGCTGATGCAGTTTCATTTGAAGAAATAAAGAAGTATATTAATCAAGAGGTTCTAAGGATTTTTGAAGGTTAGATCTACTTAATAAACATTTCTGAACTTTTCACCAGTTACTACCTCCCATCCACTGTAGGGGATCCCTTCAGCACTCTCTCCAAAGCTGGCCATTCAACAACAATGTTAAGAGGCAACCTCTTTTATGAGGGGGATGAGGCAACTCTCTTAGATAGAAAATTCTTCCTGACACTGAGTTAACTTTGCTTCTCTCTAACTTCCTCTCATCATTCCTGGTCTTTTAAATAGCACAGGTAAAGTATCTTCCTCTATTCCCATGACAGCCCTTAACAATATTTTTCCATATCCATAGTACTCATCCTTACTTTTCTGTAGTGCAAGTGTATCTAGACCCTCCACTGTCACCACCCTTGAAAAACACTTCATTTTTTTTTAAGATTTTATTTATTTATTTGACGGAGAAAGATAGCAAGAGCAGGAACCCAAGCAGGGGGAGTGGGAGAGGGAGAAGCAGCCTTCCCGCGGAGCAGGGAGCCCGATCTGGGGCTCGATCCCAGGACCCTGGGACCATGACCTAAGCCAAAGGCAGATGCTCAACGACTGAGCCACACAGGTGCCCTGAGAAACACTTCATTTTTAAATGACCCTCATTCACCCAGGAGTATTTTGACCAAGGCAGAGTACAGTGTGTTTTGATTTAGACCTGGGTCAGCAAACTTTGGCCCACCAGTCAAATTTGCCTGCCCCCTGTTTTTGTGTGGCCCACAAGCTGACAATGGTTTTTACTTTTGGGGGGGTGTGGCGAGGGGGAGCACGTAAGGAGTGCATTTTTAAATGCTTTTTTTTAAATCAGAAGAATATTTCATGACATGTGATAATGATCTGAAATTCAAATTTATTTCCACAAATAAAGTTTTATTGGAGCACAGTCAGACTCATTCTTTTAGGAATTTTCTCTGTTTTCATGCGAGAGCAGCAGAATTGACTTGTGGTCATGGGGATTGTATAGCCTGAAAAGACTTAAATATTTATTATCTGACCCTTTATAGAGAAAGTTTTCTAACCCTTGATAATAGACTTCAATAATGCTGCCTATGATGGCATCCTTTAAAAAAAAAAAAGGCTTCATTGATTTTGATTTTTCAATTAACTAACAACCCTGGATCTTGTTTACACAAATTTTTAAAGATTAGATGTTTTTCATTGTGTGCTGTGTCCATTTTTAAAATCTAAGTGTGTGATTTTATGTTTCTTCATATTAAATTTCAAAAGGTTTGTGTTCACACATTGTCCCAAACTGAAGATACCTTGTGGAATGTTGTCTTACTGTAGGGCAGGTGGACTGACCCTCATAACTTTGTGCCATCTCTGAATTTTATAACCATGTCATCATTCTAATTATAGGTAGAAATGTTGGAGGAAAGAGTCAAGAGTCAAGGATTAGGCCTTTCTTAATGCCACTGCATTCCTCCTGTTCACTTGTTAATTCTATTAATCTATTGTTTCAGTGACCTCTGAATCCATATAGTTTTCTAAAATCCACTCTATATCTTTTTAATCTGTTCCCAAGATATCACATGATTTTGTCAAATGACTTGCTAAAATCAAGATCACTCCCCTCAACTGTGAGCTTAATACAGTGGGGAATTTTTGTCTTTAAAAAATGAATCCGCATTGGCTCTCCTGGTTCCTGCTTCTTTTGCACAGCATCCTTTCTTTGCCAAGCTAAATATATATTACTGAATTTTGCAAGGAATAAGATTACAAAATGCCCCAAGTTCACGGGAAGTCTTCCTACTGCAAACATGGCATTAGCTACTCTCCTAGAAGCTCTGATTATTTTAAGCAGTAATTAGTATTAGAGACCAAAATCTCAGTGCTTGAGTATACATTATCTTATTTCACATGAGCACTAGAGATAGAACAGAGTTAACACAGGAACTTTGGCTGCTTCAATGACAAAATAGAAAAAAAAAGTGTTTTTTTTTTAAAGGTAATGAATTCATGCTGTTGATTTCAATTTACATTGATCTCTACTAAGTATCTTTACCATGCTCTGGCATGATAGGTCATTAATACAATTGTCCACTGTGTTTTTATTTCAAGCTACCAGTTTTCTCTTTATAATTTTAATGTTGCCCTTCAATCTAGAAATCCTTTTTTACTATCTTTTTTTCTTTTAATCTTTGAATCAAGCATCATGGGAAAGAGCCTCCAAACTTTGCAATCCAAACATACCCTCTCAATAAGCACTCCTCAAGCATCACCTGCCTGAAAAAGAAAAAGGCATCTCGAGTGCTCCAGAGAAACACTGAAAAATATAGAGGCATAGACAGGTCCAGCTAATTTGCAGGACTCAACGCAGAGTGAAAATGGGGGTGCCCTTATTCAAAAATGATTAAGAATTATAAGACAGCCATAGTTAAACACTATACCAAGCATAGGGCCCTTTTGAGCAAGGGACTCTGTGTGACTGCACAGGTGGGTTGTCCTTAAAGCCTGCCTGGGCACAGGACTTTCAGGACCTCAGAGAGCATCCACATGTTTAGTAGACACAATCATGGAAGGGAAAATACCAGCAAATATGTTTTTGAATTGTGATCTAAAATTCTCCTTTAACTCTTAATGTCCATGGGCTCTAGTGTCAACCGTCTTTTATCTCAGGCAGCTTTAATGCAGAATTTCAATTCCTTAAATGACTTTAAATTTAGTCTGAGATGTGGGAAGTGTTCATTTTGCCCAGTGGACCCTGGATGAAGGCATGGCCTCTGGTGGCCTCCCTGTTGCGTTCAGCAGAGGAGACGTGCCACTTGCATCCACAGAAAGTTTCCTGCTGCCCACTCACAGGCCGTTGTGGGGTTATTCCTGTGAAGGACTGTGCCTTCTGAGGAGAGAGATCAGGGGAATTGGACCACTCTCCACCTCTCTTGGGGCAGGCTCTTGTGGCTTGCACTTTCTTCTAAGTCTGTGAACTCCCCCTCTGCTGTTCTATCCCAGCTTCCTCTCCCAGTCATTCCCTGCCTGCCAGGAAGCGAAGGGTGCAGAGGCTCCCCCAGGCCTCCTCTGGCTCCCCCCCACCCCGCATCTCCCCCAACCACCTTCCCCAGTCTCTCCAGCCTGGCGAGGTCCCTCAAAAGCCACATGTCTTGTCTCAAAACCATATTCTAAGGTGGCCCACAAGGAAATTTTTTGGGAGACTTGTAGACTCTGAGACTCTGAACATGATACCCCCTCTCCTTTCATCTTTGTCGGTACCAGTCCAGCAACACTTTCTCCCAAACAAAATTGTATCGAAACCCAAGATTTGGTTATTTAGCACTTGAGTTAATTTGTCCCAAGATTATTCCAATTCAGTCCATTTAACTTTCCAAGTAGAAGTCACTTCTCCAAGGCTTCTGAATACCATTTACAAAAAGGAATAAGGAAAAACTCCATTTCCACAAATCCTAGAGCTCCAAGGTCACATTTCTCCCTTTCAGAAAGCTTTCTCTATACAAGCAAAGACTAATTTTCACAGGACAGTGGGCTCAGTGGCAGCTAATGTTTGTCTCTACCCCATTCACCCCTGCACAGCCACAGCCTCGGGGGCAACTCTCTCTGCCCAGCAAGTCGTGCACTGTCTATGGGGGCTCAAGGGAGTGCTGGAGAGATCCCGCTCTCCCACTTTACCATCCTTTCACTGGAGGTCCACACTGGAGCCTATAGTGAAGCCTAGATCAAAACCCCAAACTTGGGCTCTCTAGCTCCCTTCAGGGATTTCCAGGTGGCCCCTTCCCACAGATCTCACACTTTGGGCTCTGTCCTAGGCCACCAAGCCCTCCTTCAGCATCCCGATGCCCCCATCTCAAACCTAAGCATGGTGGAAGAAGGTGTTTTCCTATCAACCCCAAGTCTGGGTTTCTGCTGGGTCACAATGGGCAAATATGTGCCCAGTCCAAAATTAAATTAAATTCCCTATTTGATTAGCCAACAGATCAAATCCTTTTGCAAATAAGGTGACCTCACAGAGTGGGGCAAAATGCTGGGTGTCTCAGCTTAGCCTCTTTTGGCTTTATGAGGGCTTTGCAGCTACCCTACAAATTAGCATCTTGCGAGATCTGAGAAGCTTAATTCTTGCTATGACACCACCCTATTATACTTGGAGATTTCCATCAACACGCAGGAAGAATTTGCCAACCTGTGCAGAAATGTGGATACATATCCTGCTTTCTTGGTTCTTGAGACAAACTTGGAACCAACTCCAACTGTGGGAAGAGAGGAAAGTAAGGGCTCTGTGTCCCTGAGCAGTATTTCTGCCTCCAGAGCCAATGTCCAGGAAAGCCCCTTTATCTATGTTTTCTCCACTTTCCATACATATATTTCATATATATGTGAATATTTATCCTGTTCTCTTGTTTCAAGTGTAACACCTCTCTCGCATCTCAACAACTAAGTTACTAATTTACATATGTGTATGTATATGCATCATATATATACATCTCACCTGATAAGAAACATATCTTGAAGATGTACATATACCTTTTAAATACTTTGCACAGCATAGCCTCTATTTCTTTCAATTTGCCTCTTTCCATTTCTTTGTTTGGGTCTGTTGTTCAGCTTATAGGATTTCCTTTGTGCCAGTAATCCTTGGATGTCTGTTCATACAAAAGAGTAAGTTCTAAAAACCTAATCGAAAGTTATGAGTGAATGGTGGGACTCGCGCACCATGAGCTTCACTGTAGGGTAGTCTAACTGGGCTTTTTAATTGAGAGGACTTCAATTTCAGTGCCTTTAAGTCCTTCCTCTTATTCTGGCCAGATTCCCCAGAGGAAACGCTTCCATTTCCTGCCTGGCTGCCAGCATTTGGAGAGCAAAGTAGGAGAATAGGACTGAAAACAAAAAGAATAAATGTGCACTCATTTATTCTTCTTGTTTTCAGTTAGGGAAGCCCAAGACTCAGTGGGATCTGAAGGCCCCCCAGGGCACACGTGATCTATTTACCTTTTTTTTTTTTTTTTTGCTAGGTTTGGGGAGGAACAACTACCCAGCTGTATAGAGAAAGAAATTTCTAAGACTAC